CGCCCCCCCCCCCCCCCCAGTTTTCTAATGGTCGACCTCCAAGGCATGTTGGAGAAGCTTGCTACATTCTCATCCCCTATAGGTTACAGACACTCCATTCAGGCACGTTCTATGGTGTCAAAATCCTTCAACTATAGATAAATTTATCAGTGCTTTACCATGGATAGCTACTTACATATGCAGAGAATGACAATGAAGAAAATGTAGATGACCAATTCACGGAGAGTTGTTTTAACATGCATTTCACGATCACTGTCCATATCTTCCGTCTGTCTCGTGCGCCATAAACCTGAGAAAAAAATATAATCCATTTACTTCAATCCATCTAGAGGAGATCCGCCTTAATACAGCAAGGCTTAGTCACCATACGATGATTTGGAGTATTTGGATGCAGTTATATGTTTCAGATAGTAGTGGTCACAAAAAGCAACTGCGTATATCTACACAGTTTGTTGTCCAGTCGAATCAGATCTGCACTGTAAGTCCTGTAACAGTTAGAACCTGTTATGACACAGAGCAGCAATAGCCTCAATATTTAAATACGTTTTACCATCCTACTAGTCCTAGTTCTTACAGCTATATGAAACCAAGGTACCTGGTGAAAACATGTACAGTGACACAGTCAAACTGGAAACTCTCTGGTGGGAAAGGGGACATGCTACAAACAACTGCATGCGAAAACAAAGACGATTGTCAACAACAGGTCACCTTGGTTGTTCTCAAAATAATTAGATAAATTATTCAAGCTTTTTTAGAGAGGGAATTTAGAACCTTCATTTGCAGTAAATTCTCGCAAGAATAGAGATTAATTTAAACACACACGGTTTTTTAAACGCACAAAAATTATTTACATTTTTTTTCCTTTCTGTTGTGACTATATGTCATAGAGGTCTTCTGGAAACCTTATAAGCTTTTCAATTATAAGACTATTTATATTATTTAAAAGTTTAAACGTTTCGAGCAAATAGTTCTGTACTCACGTAATCCTAAATACCGCAGAACTCATCTATAGGTTTGAATATTGCAGCCAATCAACCAATAGCATGTAGGTAGTCCTGAACATTTTAGGACATTTTTTATTCTTAATTCTTATACTTCCTCTGGCATTACTATAATACCCAAGCTTAGCACAACACCATATATAAGCAATGAAACCAAGTTCTAGTTTTTAATACTTAAAATTACTGTTTAGAGTCGATCTGTCAAGTGAAGCTACTTATGCTACTATAGTACATAAAGAAACACGAATTTACGTGATGCAGCTGGTTGGTAACAGAACTCAATATTGACAATTCAATAAGACCTGGGACGCTTCTTTCATATATAAACTTCCGGACTACGCAATGGCATACCAAGTCCAAGTGGTGAAGTGCTATTATAAACGGTTCTATAAAAAGGTTTATTCAAATACACTTTTATATACAGGATGTATCAAAATAAACGCAATTCATCTTTTGTGCTTAATAACTTTCGAAATACTATTTCTAGTTAAACGCTTTTAGGCTTACTTCAAAGCCTGTTCTTTTCTCTTTCAAACAAACTATTATCCTTGTCTCCAATGCTAGTAATAATTGCACAGGAAAAGATTTAGTAAACCTATCATTTTTAGTTGCTGTTTAATTATGCAAGTTTACTATGTTATTGTTTAGTCGGTTTAAATGTTAGAATTTTCTTCTTTAAACTTTAATGTTGTCGTCACTACATCTGGAAAACCACCAGGTTGTTTGAAAATCCTAAACGAATGCTAAAAATCGTCAAAACATTCTGGTGTCTGAGCCAGAATGTCATCGAATTGCGATGTAATGTAAGCAGAAATTATAGCAAGTTGATGTCAGTCAGCTTAGATGGTCCAACTCGTCCAAGCCAAAATTATATCGCATTTGAAGTTTCAAACTGAGTTAAAAATAGTGGAAGAAAAGCCGTAATTATACTTATTGTTACAATCCATTTAATAAAATGCAACATTTGTTTGTTTTAATGAACGATTGTTATTCCATCTCATGAGAACGATTTGTTATTCCATCTCAATTTTTTTAATCTCCAATCGCAATAACGTAAAGTATTATTACCCGCGAACCAATGAATCAAATTTTAGAAACAACCCACCGTTAGAAAGCTGAATGGCTACGCTTTAAAATGAATGTAAACTTTAACGTTTTCGTCTATTATTTGTTTAGCAATTTACATTTCAGTCGAGGATTGCGCTTTTTTTGATACACCCTGTATAGGTTTTCTGTCCTAATTCGTTGCTGTGTACTCATATCTCTCTCCTCCGCAGAGGTTTCTGTGTCATCACAGGGTAGAGACATACAGAGACGTAACTGACCGTTGTAAACACTGCGGAAGCTTACGTTTTCATGTACTTACTTTTTTTCAGGCGACCGGGCAAAAAATGATCAACTGCGCGTGTTCAGCAAGTTTAAAGTGAGTCGTCATCAGGTCGTCATCCAATCAGATGCATGTATCTAGTAACTTGCCGAGCATGCGCACAAAAAAAGTGGGTACACTAGTTACGTCGCTGTATGTCTCTACTCTGTGGTGTTTTCGAAGAAAGCGTTTCGCTTCCTGCTTTCTTCGCCTGCGCGTCTTCCACACAGCGGTTCGATACACTAAACGCCATGTAAAGCTCATTGAAACCTCTGCGGAGGAGAGAGTACTCATATAGTTTCTGCATTCAGAGATTGAGCTTCAAGGGGATGATCTAAAAACCCAATTGACTCAATAACCATTGACTGAATCAAATGCGGCTGAATGGACGCAAAACAAAAATAATGTTCATATTTTACAGTTTACTTCTAATTTAATTTATTGAACTGATTAAAAAATAAATCAAAAGATAAAATTGTAGTAACTCGAAAAGAACTGGAACACTCTTCTCGAACCGAAATGTACAAGGCAAGAGAACGCCATCGGGCATTGCCTGCATGCGCAAACAAAAAACAGAAAATGGGCCAAGAACTAAAACCACACAGCTGTCATTGATATTTGACACTGACAGTTAAACTTAACCGCAGAATATTCTAGCAGATTTATATCTAAGTCGTTTCTGTAACTGCTGTCGTTGAGTGTTGTGTTCTGGTAGTGTGGGATATTGGAGATAATGTAGTCTCATTCTATTAACTGTGGTCTGACATACTGACACTGAGTGACACAGTGGCTCTGGAGTTAGTCAGTTTTTACGGCATTTTTCTATATATGTCTCACAACAAAACAGATTTCGTATAGGAAAAATACTGGAGAAAACAAAGAAGACTATGATTCTTTAAAAAAAGAAGTAGGGGATGATTAAGATTTAAGCAAATTTTACATCATTTAATTTTTACAAATTTTAAAATTTGTAGACTGAATTAAAGTTCCTAAATTTTTCTATATTTTTGTATTCTTTGCATTTCTATATCATTCCTGGCTATACATGCATCATTGCACATTTATTTTTGCATGTGCCAAAAAAATATGTAATGCGTACTGCAGTACGATTGTTTCCTTTGGCTTTGCGTCACCGTTTCTATGACGGTATATAAACTACCTGTTACTGCGCTACTTCGACATGCTATCATCTTGTCATTCTTATCTTCTATTAGAAATTTATTGTCCAAGCGTGTTTATTGGATCTTTCTGTATGGGCATTTTACTAAAAACAACCTGAAATTAAGAAATGCTTAGGACAAGTGAAATTGACTAGCCGGTTGTTGCTAATCAGGCATTAAGTATTCTGTCAGTCAATCATTAATTTGCCAAATATGGTATTGGGCCGTCCGGCAGGTGCACACAATTAGAACGACTGTAAATCGAAATACGCCAAGGCAAAGCTAAACTAACCTGTAAAACTAGAAGAACACTAGCCTTATTATCCCAGTATCAAAAACAAACAGTAACATTACACTACTATACTACATTTTCCTGGCTTGGGCTTGGCAAAAATTTAAAATTCATCACGCACGTCAAGTCTTTTTTCGACTTAATTAGAAAATAAAATTGTTCGCAGTTGGAATTTTCTTCCCTTTAAAAAATTCTCGACATGCATATCCTTTGTATTTCGATGGAAAGAATTACATACTAAACTTTTCCATCTGTCCAATGAGGCGTTCAGTAATAACGCATGTTAGCCGTTTAATATTGCCAACTGGCAACTGTAAATATTTGTAAGTTACAAAACCAAAGCCAAAGCCGGTTCGGTTTACATGAAAATTATATGGAAATTGTCGATACTGAACATCTGAATATCTGTAACGTTCTGCATATCCGTTTTGTTCAAAGTAGATGCCTATTCGTTCAATGATTATCTGTATTCCCTATGTATTCAACGCGATACAGGAATTATGCACGAATACGCCAGTATGAAAAATATTTTGTACAGTCGGAGCGAAAATAATTACGCCATCATTTTTCAGCTGTATCCAAGCTGACTAACCAGCTAATCCAGTTAGGCTAAGGTTGAAATACAGGCCAACGATATAGAACATTTAATTTTGGACATGGACATAATTGTATTTGAGTCATGGGCATTTACTGCAGGCAATGGTTTAGGAAAATTGGACATAGTCTTAAGCCCGTCCGAAAATTGGACATAGTCTTAAGTTCCTGCGATTTCTAGAGCGATTTTCGATTTTTCGTCTTCTGATGCATGTGAATGAGTAGATGAGTTATCGATGTTCAGATGAGGTTACACATACTCAAAACATTTGTAACTCATTTACTCGTTGATATGCATCATAAGAGAAAAGTAAGTGTAAACGGGCCTTCACATAGCTATGCCTATAGTCTATAGAGTATATACTTATAGTAGAGTATATAGAACAATGTTCAAATCGCAATATGCGCAATATTAAAATCTAAGATTATATGTCTTATATTACTGTCCCAATACCTTTGTTTAAGTACAAGGTCAAACTAAGCTGCATAATAATGGGCTTTATTGCACTATGCAGTACTTGAAGTATTCGAATGGCAAAATAACACTCTATTATATTAGGCTACATAGCAATTGCAATTGGTGGCAGTATTTAGACTCCGGCGTTATTTGTGTGCATCTCACATTACAACACGAATGTTTTTCTATAGTCCAACTTCTAAATATATTAGTATTGAACGCTTGATTTAGAGCTCGAGGTTGTTGCGTATACTGGTGGTTTGTTAATGTACTTGAATTTATTTGGGAGGGAAGAGAAGAATCAGTCGATAGGTTTAGAATTCTGTATAGAGTCTATAGACTAATAAGTAATAGACTCAAACTTCGTAAACCAGTTCCGCTTTGGTTTTGTTTGTGTTCAATGACGAGCTACTAGATTTAGTATTAAATCGCCTTAAAAACTTCTTGCGTGTTGCGTCGTTGTTAATAGCTTTAAATTTTCGCTAAAATTGTGAAAACTAGAATGCGTCAACTCCGCATAATTACGAAACGTGCGCGTCCTTAAAGTATCCGCTGAATGTAAAGGCAAGTAAGGGTAAACTTACTGCGTACGATTCTTTTGAATCGCGTCCAACATCCCACAGGCACATTACGTTCTTCAACCCCAGCGCGGACGTCTGCGGGCATTTGTTTCTGATGCGAGACAGGCTCAGCTTCCATACCGGTGGGAGAAACATCGACGGCTGTGGCTGTAGCTCTGGGAGAGAAATCTATGTCGTCCGTCACGTCGTTCTCATTCCAGGCATTTCGCGAGTAAGCTGACGCGGGCCTTGAAGACATCTCCATCGGATGGTCTTGACCGAGGCTCATTTGAGAGCCGCTTTGTTTTCTCCGTTTGGTGTTTGTAAGATTTTCCGAACTCATTTTTGACGTTCGTTCTCGTGTGTAGTGTTACACAGTTCGTTTGATCTGCTTGAAACTGCTTGTCGTCCTTCCTGCAAAACGACGAAACAGCGAATGCAACTAAGACATGAATTATGCAAAGTTATCTTTCAGCATCTCCAATTTCGTTCCTATAGTTACGGTGCTCTGAGGTATATACCTGCTGTATTAATGAGAAATGACACATCAATCTAAGCAGGGACTATTTATTTTATTTCATCCTTATCGTTTATGAAAAAGTAAACCGTCAGGACTTTGAGAACATAAAGAAATTGAACTCCTGGTTTCAGAACATGGTATTAAGGACACGGTTATACAGTGATCTATCTTTTATGTTTTTCAGATAGTTTTCAAACGCGGTTTAATTTTCTTCCCACTCATTGCCCTTATTTTAATATTATTGATATTTTCCACATCATCGAACTAATCAACAAAAAAGCAGGTGTATTCTTCACCTCCTTTTACTGAACTTGCAAAAATACATCAGTCATCAGTCGGTTTTCTGGTCGTGTTCGCTAATGTCTGCTTATAATTGAGTTTTATTTCGGCCTAAAATGTTTTAAGGAAACTGTTTTAAAATATTTCTGCGTGAGCTCTTTTCGTGCACCTGTCATGGCGTTAAATTATTCATCATACTCATTCTCAATGTCGCGTATAAGATCCATGGCAACACAAGAAAACTTAATAAAATATTAAAGAGTCGGTCAACATTCAAAAATTTCGACATTTCGTCGTAGTTACATGCAATTTCTCAAATCCAATGGCAATGTTTTTTCTTCATTGATTGATACAGCCTAATTTAAATATGATCTAGCTTATAAACATGGCAAAGTTACTCTTATAAAAATGCAATTAGTCTCATACTACTGATAGGTGAAACTTTATTTAGTAGTTTATATTATAAGAACCTATATTCTATAACTGAGTTATACCAATGATTATATCAAGCAGTTTTAGTATCAAAACCGGCTCTCCTACGCAGAGGTATTTCACGGTTTTATTGGTTACACGCGGGCTGTCAGTACCCGGAAAACGTAAGATGCCTTACAATTTACGGGTGTAACCCGCGTGTTAAACTAAAACGCCTCTGCCGAGTCAAAATGTAACGCACCGTCCAATTGGCGAATAGTATGGTATTTCGTGTTACATTTTTACACTTGGCGGTCTTGGTTGGGAGTCGTCTTTCATGTTCCTCAAACCCCCAATTTTAAAGCCAGCCAGGGTAGTTCAGCATTGATCACGGTTTATTTCAACGACTGTTTCTTACTGATCTACAGATAATCAGCATGAAACTAGCAAACGAGTTTAAGTAGTCTCTTAACTGATTAATTCGTCGGCGCCATTACAGTGGCCTTCGCAGTGTCTCTCAGTTTCTCACCAATGAACTGCCAAAAGCCTTTCGGTCTGTTTTGTAATAAAATCGTTTTGAAGGTGTTGTCATATTAACCACCTTAAGCCTGCCCGCACACAAGAGCTTTATGCTGATCGAGCTAATCACCACGCGTGGCAATAGCTTAGCTAAAAGCTCTCGTGTGCAACATGGTTTTTGCTGCGGAATTTGACACGCGAGACCGTGAGGAAAAATTCTATCGTGTTTATTTTGTCCACGCGAGGCAAGGATGTGCGGACGTTGTGACCTTCGTGTGCCTGGCAAACATGGAAAGGAGGCCATTGGGATAAAGTGCAATAAACAGTAAAGTCTATTGTTAGACATTGTAACTAATAATCCTATTGACTTACACTGTGCGGATCGGCTGACCTTCTTAGACGATAGAAATCCGCCATCAATAACGGCTCAATGACAACATAATACCCGGTGACTACATTATCTTGACATGAAAGCATCACAAGCTACTATAAATCTACTATAATATATAGTTATCTATTAGTCCCAACTCCCGGTTTCGTTGTAGTACCATAGTCTAGGGCTCCCAAATAAAAAATTTACATACAAATTTTAAAGATGAGGTCAAGTTTGTTCTGCGCATGTGCTACGCGAGGGCCCTCAATAGTCAATACCCAAATTCCGCATTTTTTCGACATCTTCTAAATTGAAACTCTGATTTATATTTTTCTAAAAGAATATAGCAGACAAGAACGATGTTAGATATTAACTAAGTGCATCATGTTTTATGAATATAGTGTCTTTAAAATGAAAACAAACTGCACATCCGCTCTTTAAATGGAAAATCTCATACCGCGATCTTTCAGCCAACGGCAGAATCTCAACGGCTTTCGACATAACGTTGTATTTTTATAAACAACTTTACAAAGGCATTAAAAGAATTTACGTGCCCTAAGGGACCGGTCATAAAGTAACTGCTAGGGTGGGCTGGAGTGATTTGGGATGGGCCATGGAAAATCTTTGGGCAGTTTCGATGGGCCGCCAATTTTTTTGTATGTCCACGGTTGGGCCACCAAACAAAAAAACATGCATGTCTACTTCAAAAAATAAAGATACTAATAGGAAAAGTAAACAAAACTATCCAAATTGTCAAATGCAAATGTGCTATTGTCTATTGAAGCCAGTACTTTGTTTATACAACAGCAAAAAGTGGTCGAATCACAGCAAATACAACCAACTGGAGAGCAGCTCAGTACCAATGTGTTTGTCAAGCTTGGTGGAATTATGTATGTCAATACAGTGCCGTGCATGTATATTTACAATGTTCATACCTGCAAGTTTTTTTTATTGTAAAAAAATTATTTTCCCAATTTAGATTGGATGGGTCATGAAAATTTTTTTGTAAGATTAGATGGGCTTTGAAATTTTTATCTACATCCTAAGATGGGTCACCAAACTTATTGGCAAAATTTGTGATTTACCTCCAGCCCACCCTAGCAGTAACTTTATGACCAGGGTGTCTGTAAAAGCCGGAACCCCACCCGGAACCCACCCGGAACCCTACCCGGAACACCCGGAACCCCTCCCGGAACACCCGGAACCCCTCCCGGAACACCCGGAACCCTACCCGGAACACCCGGAACACCTCCCGGAACACCCGGAACCCTACCCGGAACACCCGGAACCCCACCCAGAACACCCGGAACCCCACCCGGAACACGCTGGAATACGAGCTATGAAGCAACGCACGTGTTTCTCTATAAATTCACGTGTTTCGCATTAAATTCGGGGTGATGGATGGTTACGATCTTTACTTTTTACTTGTATTGTTATTTTTTTTAAATAATTTTTCTCATGGGCAAGGATAAATATATTATGTCGGGAGGTATATAATATCAAATGCATGAGTTTTGCTTGTTTGTAAACGTGCAAGCGAAGTTTCGCTCGAGCTAGGCGTTTGCCGCATGTACTATATTTTTCGTTTTCAATATTCTGCCGTACTATGTACCTGTGACTCTATTCTAAATTTAGTTGAACAATAACCAATATTTAACTTTGCTATCTTTTTTATTATTTGAATAATATGTTTGCATATATGGTTACTTTGACTTGCAATTGTATGAAACGGCGCCATGTAGGAATTTAGAGGAATTATAAAGTTCATCCGTATTTATTACAATACGAATTCTCGTGGATTTGGAACATTTTTCATGGATTTCTTTACTAGACTTACTCGCTTTTTTGGAACTTTGAAAGACGTTTTAGTAATTTAGAGGCTGTTTTGTATATGACAATGACTGCAGCCTACAGTGAAAGTGCACGCGCGAGATCTCAGAATAACAGTATTATTAAGTAAGCCCCCTTGATGACTGTGTACGCTCTTGGGGCAAACTCATTCTCATCAGAAATATGTTTAAAGGCACAGATCTGCCTTTTGAACGACAGTTTTTAAGGCGCATTTCAGCCCTTTTAATTGAAAAAACTAAGTAGGAAAATCAGTTAAGTATAATTCAAAATCAGTAAACTCGATGTTTTAACAATAAAAATGTTTTAAAATGTTAAAAACATTGAGTTTGGTGATCTTGAATTATGCTTAATTGATTTTCCTAGTTAGTTTTTTTCAATTAAAAGAGCTGAATTGCGCCTTAAAAACCATTGTTCAACAGGCTGAACTGTGCCTTTAAATAAAGTAGCTAATATATTATATGTATTGCTAGAAATTCCCAAAACATTCATTTGTCATTGAAAACGTTGACAACCAACAAGCAGGATGTCATATAAATATAGAGCACGAGGCAAAACGTCCATGCATGACCATGTTCCTTCGATCAACGGCAGTAAATAAATATTGTATTTAATATATTAAATTAAGGACTGTGTTACTGTTGAAGTTATAACATGAACGTTTTGCCTAGTGGCTAGTGCTTTATATATACGACACCAGCTTGTTGATTTGGTTGTCAACGTTTCCAATGACAAATGAATGTTTTGGGAATTTCTAGCATTAATACATATAATTTATTAGCTTACGTTCGTGCACTTTTACTGTAGGCTGCAGTCATTGTCATATACAAAACAGCCTCTAAATTACTAAAACGTCTTTCAAAGTTTCAAAAAAGCGAGTAAGTCTAGTAAAGAAATCCATGAAAAATTTCCCAAATCCACGAGAATTCGTATATATTGTAATAAATACGGATGAACTTTATAATTCCTCTAAATTCTTACATGGCGCTGTTTCATACAATTTCAAGTCAAAGTAACCATATATGCAAACATATTATTCAAATAATAAAAAAGATAGCAAAGTTAAATATTGGTGATTGTTCAACTAAATTTAGAATAGAGTCACAGGTACACAGTACGGCAGAATATTGAAAACGAAAAATATAGTACATGCGGCAAACGCCTCAAGCGAAACTTCGTTTGCACGTTTACAAACAAGCAAAACTCATGCATTTGATATTATATACCGCCCGACATAATGTATTTATCCTTGCCCATGAGAAAAATCATTTTAAAAAAACAACAATACAAGTAAAAAGTAAAGATCTTAACCATCCATCACCCCGAATTTAATGCGAAACACGAGAATTTATAGAGAAACACGTGCGTTGCTTCATAGCTCGTATTCCAGCGTGCTCCGGGTGGGGTTCCGGGTGTTCTGGGTGGGGTTCCGGGTGTTCCGGGTGGGGTTCCGGGTGTTCCGGGTAGGGTTCCGGGTGTTCCGGAAGGGGTTCCGGGTGTTCCGGGTAGGGTTCCGGGTGTTCCGGGTGGGTTCCGGGTGTTCCGGGTGGGGTTCCGGCTTTTACAGACACCCTTATGACCAGTCCCTAACTCAAATACACGTATTCTAAGCAAATAAAATAAGGCATTGAAGGTAGTTATTAGTTGGTAGTAACTATTTCCAATGAGGAGGTTAAACTATGGTGGACCAAATTAAACCTAATACAATTTTCGTTGAAAAGTTTACTGCTAAAAGAAATATGAAATAATTCACACATTGTCAGCGAACAAAGTAATAACATTTATTAAAGAAATCAATCCCATCTAACTACAATTATAACTTTTATTCATTAAGACTAAATACCACTGCATGGATATTTCAAATGCAAAACAAGTAATTGAAGAAAACATACCAAACAACAGGAGCATAGCGAAGTTATAATTATTCTGTTTTTATTGTTCCTTTCAAATTAGAAGTTTCTTCCGACACTGTACTGCTTTTCGCTTTTCCTACAGGCAAGCTAAAACGCATCTCTTTTTTTGTCTATCCTAGGGCGTTTATACAAGCAAATTGTAATTTTCCTTGACAAAACAGAGATCAGTATCCCAATAAGCAATTATATAATCCTTCGCTATGCCCCCGCGACCCCCTAGCAACTATTCACTGTTTATGACAAGAGGAGGATCTTTAGGATTATCAAATCTGTCCATGGACTTAATGCTGAGAAGCGCCAACATTCCGCCATATAAAATAGCGACAAGTACACCAACAGAGATTAGACCCATCCATATTGCAGGAGTGAAGAATCCAACACAGTCGTAGGAATTTGCAAACGTCTCGTTTTTTACACCATAAGGTTGCAACTAGAACGCAAGAATGGTAGAAATTTATCGTACTGAGGGCAGCTTGTATATTGAGAATACGGTCATGCAAACAATGCAGATAATTACAAGTAGAAGGTAGAGAATTTCACCGCTTTTTCCATTTGTCAAGACGAAGCTATATACTATAAGTTTAAACTCTCGTAATTTTCTTTAAACCTTTTACTAGAGCTTCGTTAAAACAATACTCAGTATACTCAAACACAGATTTATTCAAACACAGAATACTAGTATAGTGCCAGTCTTTTGAGTGCAAGCGCCAAGCAGTAAATACGCGGACGTTTTATGTACTGTTTAATAAACGAGCAGGAGTGTTTTATTATAGGTTTGAAGCCACGAGTGCGCAGCGCGAGTGGCTTTAGACCTAATAAAACACGACCTGCGAGTTTATTAAACGGCTTCAAACACGACTACAATTTCAATAGATATACTGTCTTATTAGTATTCTTTATATAAAGAATACTAATTAGGAGTGTTTTATCCATTGGTTTTATCAGGTTTAAAGCCACTGCACGTGACATATTATGGTTGACATGATTTGCCAATAAGCTTATGAATTATTGATGAGTGTTTGAAAGCGGTGTTAATAGGTGGATCTTGAGTATAAAGTATTTCTTAGGGCCTGTTCGTTCTAGTAGTTTCGGCAGAGCGTTGACGGACTCTTTTCGTCCCCAACTGGATTTGAACCCACTCGGGCAGATAAAAGGCACGCGCTCTGACGATTGCGCCACCCAAGCCCCTTTTACGAACGTAAAACTGCATATTATATAGATTCATGTTCCTAATTCCAAGGAATAAATGTTATCACTGGTAATTGTTGGTTTGGGATAAAGCGGCGATCCGGAATCGCAGAAGCGTAATGGACCATTTGCATTATAGACTAAATTTTGATCTAGACAAAAATTTTATCACAGCTTGAAAGAGCATCACAAAATTAGCAATATTCCAAAGTTTCGTTGCGAAATGTTGAAAAATGCGGATAATATAGCCCTGCGAAATTTTAAATTTTCAGTCATTTTGTATTACAAACAGGGAATTAATGCCCCAACACCCGATTGGGCTGTCAATTTTTAATACAAAATGACTGAAAAAACGGCAAACTTCGCAAGGCTATATTATCCGCATTTTACAACATTTCGCAACGAAACTTTGGAATATTACTAATTTTGTGATGCTCTTTCAAGCTGTGATGAAATTTTTGTCTAGATCAAAATTTAGTCTATAATGCAAATGGTCTATTGCGGAAGCGTAATTGCGGAAGCGGCATGAGAATAAAATGGAAAAACAGAACACGCTGCTCGAAACGTCGAAGTTTTTTATGTATTTTACGGATAGTCGTACGAAACATGGTAGAAAGTACGCGTTTCTCGAAAACCATACCTCCGTGATAATAGGTTAGATACGTGCCCAACACGTCAACAACCAGGCTGACAGGTTTAGTCATAAAAAACGTCCAATGTATAAAATCGGGCCATTATTAGTTTAGCAACACTGGAACGGGTTGGGATAAAACATTTGCGGAAACGGAATTGCGGAATGAGGATGTATAATAATATTTCGATATTTTATACTGTCGAATACGTTCAGCAGCTACATATACCACCAACCTAATGTTTTGACATTTAATTTCACGTTTTATCCCCAATTCTACGTTTTATCCCCATTCCGCTTCCGCAATTCTGCTTCAGCGTTCCGGATCCCCGCTTTATCCCAAACCAACAATTAGTACAGGTAATCATGCGATGGCGAGTACAATTAGGGATTAATAGTACGAGTGATGTTTGGAAATTTTGCCAAAATTGGACGAGCCGCCGGGGCGAGTCCAATTTGACAAATTTCCAAACATCACAAGCAACATCGCATGATTACTTGTTTATTATTAGCATGACAAAACTGGATACTTATCAATGTCAACATCATATTCTCTCGCCAAAGCCCAGTCCTGCCAGACATTCAACCAAAATTTGGTGCTTTTGTTCGCATTTTCATTTAGTTCTTTTGTTAAAGCAAAAGTTGGTGCTTTTGTTTGTGTTTTCATCTGGTTCCTCTAGGACAATTTCATTTCACATTTGTGTTTAAAATACCTTTCCGCCATTTTGTTTATTTTGAGAAAATCATTAATTGTACTGAAATAATTGTACTCCTCTCAACCAATCAGCATCCAGTAATTTTGTCATGCTAATAATAAACAGTGATAACATTTATTCCTTGGAATTAGGAACATCAATCTATATAATATGTGCAGTTTTCACGTTCGTTTATGTTGACAAAAACGTCACGCGCTGAAAGATGAAGTAATCTGAGAAACAAAATTGCCTAAAACTTGCAACTTAAAAACTGATTTTAACGGGGTAGCCCTTCGAGTTAAGCCCCTGTCACGCCCTTTTTCGCCGGGGGCTTAACTCGAAGTCAATTAACGATTTAAGCATTCGAGTTAAGCCCCGAGATCTGGTGGATGCAAACAAGTGACGCGTGTATACTCGCAAAAATATTGGCAAATAAAGATCGAGGGAGAATGTAAAATTTCAGCATTTTAAGAAATATATTTTACTAAAATCTCTTTTGCTTTGCCTACAGTTTTATACAGACAATGACATCGTGAAATGCGAGAGCTCAATAAGGATTTGTAAACAACAGCTCATTCAGGGCGGCAATTACGGCTTTGAAAAATAAATAATATATAACGGCACTTGCAGAACGCAAATCTCAGGCATGTTCATATGGAGGCAAGCTACCTTTCTAACTGATTTACTCGGCAACGACAAGATCTATGACTAGAATGTTATGTAAACTCGTTTATAGTTTTCCGGTGACATAACCAAGTAACTCATCTTGCCAAGAACCCGTCAGAGAACAGTTTTGAAAAAACTAAATGACTGGTAGTCACTATAACATTGCAGTGATATATAACGAGTTCTTTTAGAAGGACTTCAGCGAGCTTGACAGCAGCTCAGAAGGTTCGGCGTGCGACTGCTGCGTTCTAGTTCCTGGGTTCGATCCAGCTTCGGGACGTAATTTTCTCGACTTTGCGTTAGCATTTTCGCTTAAAACTTGTTTTTAACTTTTTTTAATTTTCAATGGTTTTAGACCCAACTCTCAACTGTGAAAATATGCGATTCTGACTAGAATTTTTTATCAGACTCGTACTTGCTTATTTTTTGTCCATTTGGCGTGAAGAACATATCATTCGACAGCTAAAAGCCCGATCTTTCCAAAGATGAAAAAATCGCGTTCATACGCAGAATAATTCAAATATTTATAGCGCGTTGAAGTTCGATTATCGTTTTTTTATACACCCTGTATATTATTTATTTTTTAAAGCCGTAATTGCCGCCCGGAATGAGCTGTTGTTTACAAATCCTTGTTGAGTTCTCTCATTCTAGGGCATCATTGTCTGTATAAAACTGTAGGCAAAGAAACAGAGATCTTAGTAAAATATATTTCTTAAAATTGCTGAAATTTTACATTTTCCCTCGATCCTTATTTGCCAATATTTTTGCGAGTATACACGCGTCACTTGTTTAGTTTACATCCACCAAATGTCGGGGCTTAACTCGAATGCTTAAATCGTTAATTGACTTCGAGTTAAGCCCCCGGCGAAAAAGGGCGTGGCAGCGGCTTAACTCGGAAAGGGCTTAACTCGAAGGGCTTAACTCGAAAAATACCTACCCCGATTTTGAAATCAACCCATGTTATTCAATTAAAAACATTAATTAAAACGTTAAATTAAAACATTAATTAAACGCATTAATTAAAAACACGAGACAACATTCTCAAATATTTTTAACTAACATGTATTGAAATAAGATTTATTGCAAGTTGTAGTCATTTTGCTCCTCGTATTAGAATTTTACCTGAAGACCATCAAACGTCAAACGAGATTGATTTTTATCTTTTATACCGTCAGTAAAGTTCAGGTATAGTTGGCAAGCAAAAGATTTGTCGATTGGTACATCTAATTTATCCTTGCAGTCGTAGGAAGCCTCAATACTTTCTCCTTCTATTTCACCAGAAATTGCAATGGACACACACCACCAACGGATCCCTGATCTGTTAAACATTATGCTAAAAAGATTGGAAATACATGTGATATAAATTGATGTTATGATTATTATTTTACTAAAGATTATATATAATTACTTATGCAAGTTTGGAAGGCTATCCCAAAAACCTATGGATTATGTATGGAATTGATAAAGGGAACACGGTAAATGGCTGCCATTGCTTTACGTAATTTATATTTTATATCCCCCAAACCTCCAATAATCGTTTTGGAGAATAAGTAAATTGTTACAATTTAACCGCTCAACCGCGCAGGAAATAGTAGAGAGTTTAAGCCCGCCGCACACGAGCGCACTTGTCGCGCGTACTTGTTATTCGTGACAAGTTGGATCGACAAAATTTCCTCGTGTGCGGGCAACATTTACGGCATTTTCGTCATTCGTGACATGTAAACCAAATATCAAACATGTTTGATATTTTTCGTCATTCGTGACAAAAAAATTCTCGTGTGCGGCGAGCAAACGACAAGCGCGCCTGGATAGGAAAATTTGCGCATGCGTGCAACTTGCAGAATTAAAAACAACATGGCGGATCAAAATCACGAGCTCATATCTTGTTTTTAATTCTGTAAGTTGCACGCATGCGCAAATTTTCCTATTCAGGCGCGCTTGTCGTTTGCTCGCCGCACACGAGAATTTTTTTGTCACGAATGACGAAAAATATCAAACATGTTTGATATTTGGTTTACATGTCACGAATGACGAAAATGCCGTAAATGTTGCCCGCACACGAGGAAATTTTGTCGATCCAACTTGTCACGAATAACAAGTACGCGCGACAAGTGCGCTCGTGTGCGGCGGGCTTTAAGCTTCATTTTTTTGACGAGAATTTTTTTGTCACGAATGACGAAAAATATCAAACATGTTTGATATTTGGTTTACATGTCACGAATGACGAAAATGCCGTAAATTGGGAATAGGGGCCCCCGAAACAAATTTGCCCCAGGCCCCCGAAAAGCTCTCGGCGGCCCTGCCTGTAACGAACCGTAGCGGATTTCGTTTTGTGAGCATTCGGGCAGAATTATAACGACACTGAATGAAACGAAAACGCTATGGTACAGGTACGTTCCGATATGATTGAAGTGTAAAACAGGCTTAATTTATAGTGTCACTCGTTTTGGAACACTGTAAAACTTCAATACCATTCATGGTATGTTCTACGAAATATCATAATCCATATACTACAGACATAACCTACTTCATTGATATATCACTGCCATTTATGAAAACACCTTTCAGCTGAAATGATAACCTAAAAGAAACATCGAACAGAGTTCAAGCATGGGAATACTCTATAAACAAAGTCCTTTCCTGGAAATTA